CCATAAATCATGTTCCAAAGAGATAGAGGTAAAAGATAAGTTAAAAAATATGGTTCGTTAAAAATTAGGTAAGTTAAAGATCATTAATATTGTGGATTTGATTAAAAAACAGAGTGAAAAAGTCAATTGTGCAAATACGACGTAAGTCAACGCAATTATTGTGAGAGTACATTAGAGTCATTAAACAACAATTTTATGCTTTTTTCTAGTAGCATCAAGGTGTTGTCTAGATTTTCATTCAAGCTTGTATAGCATGCTTCTTGGGAAAAAAAAATTTTTCATCTGAAAGTTTGGGATCCATCTAAGCATCACTTGGTGATTATTGTCAAGAAAGAATTTGGATTATAAGTTCTCGAACATCTAGATCTTTCACTCAAAAATTGAACGGTTCATATTAAATATTGGAAATTCATTATCTTTTGGGCACATATAGAGTACGAGTTGGCTTTTTATTTTTTATTTTATTTTTTTGCCCTTTAAGGTTGGTCGCTAGGTTTTAGAGATTACATTCCCAAAACTTGGGATTCAAAAATATTGCTCGAGGAAACAATGGACTGTATGCTCTTGCAGGAGCATGAATCTTTTCACTTTTCATTGAAGAGCACGTATACTATGCACCGGAGTTTACTTCTACTCCCTATATTATATGACTTGGGAAGATTTTTCCAATCTAAAATTTTGGTAGCTACTTTAGAATTGCTAGATGATTATTCTCAAGAAAAACAGAATTTGAAATTTGAGTTTTCTCGCGCTTCACAATCTAAAAATTGAACAGCTTCTATTCAACCTTGAGACATTATTTTTTTCAAGTGCTTAGAGGGTACACTTCGAAAAACAAAAAAAAATTATTGAAGTTAATATGTGTCAAAGAGTTTATATCCCCAACATTTGAGGTCCTAAAAATAATCCTAGTTGGGGTTTTACCCGAGGGAGTAAATGGACAGCATACTCCCAAGGGAGTCAAATATCTTTTAGCCTCAATGAATATAACATAATGCTTCCTCTGCTATCAAAGATTTTATTTGAATGTACATTGTAAGAAAAAAAAAAAGAAACAACTACAAACGCATCAATTATATTAACAAATGACAAGAACTGTAACCCAGGATTACCGCTACCTGACAACATGAAAACCAAAAAAATGTGAAAGTTGTCTGTCTAAATAATTGCGTTGCATGCACAAATGAAATAAAAAAATATATATGTATATGATAGAAGTAACAAAATTTTATTAAAAGAGTCTAGAACGAAATTACAGAATTCGAAGCAATTGTCTCTGATAAAAAAATGCCCCCTTGACAAGAGAATCAGCATTGGCTTCCCGATGGATATGTACCTTAGAAAAGGCCTAGATAAATTCAAGATCTACAGCAGCACAATTCTAAGCTCCCAAAGCAGCTTCTCCTGCCCTTTGCACCACCTTATGCCATCTAGGGAATCACCTTTATACCTAAATTCTTTGCCACCAAAATTTGCAAACCATAAAATAGACCTCCATACATGATAGATTTTTTATCTTTATATACATCTCTATTCCATATGATTCCCGCACGAACACAATCAATTGGATTATGTTTTTAACCGAAGAGATGTTATGGATTGAATAAAAAAAAAAAATCATGATTTGCTATAACTCCTTTCTTTCTTGTTCATCAAAAGATGTTTTTTTATTTTGACCTTATAGCATTTAGGGAATCACCTTCGGACCTAAATTCGTTGCCAACAAAATTTGAAAACCATAAAGTAGAGCCAAAAGTTCCGCATGGTTAGTTGTTTTAACCTCATGGGCCAGCATACGTAAAAACAATATTACCTTCCCAAACGCTAACCACACCACCTAAACCAGGGTTTCCTTGCGAGCTTGCCACCAAAATTTGCAAACCATGAAGTAGAGCAAAAAGTTCCGCATGGTTAGCTGTTTTAACCCCAACTACGCCAGCATAAGTAAAAACGATATTACCTTTCCAATCACTATTCACACTATCTAAACCAGCTGGCCCAGGAAGCATAAGTAAAAACAATATTAGCTTCCCAATCCCTAACCACACCATCTAAACCAGCTGACCTAGGGTTTGCTACCATCCAATCCCTAACCACACCACCTAAACTAGCTGGCCTAGGGTTTTTTACCATCCAATCCCTAACCACACCACCTAAACCAACTGATCTAAGGTTTCTTATTTTACCATCCAATCCCTAACCACACCACCTAAACCAACTGATCTAGGGTTTCTTTGAGAGCTACCATCAAAGTTAAGATTAGGAATAAGCTAGATAAATTTCTTCTATCGTCAACTTCTAAACATCAAAGTTAAGCCTATTCCGTTAAGCTTAGAAATAAGCTAGATAAATTTCTTCTAACGTCAACTTCTAAACAATATTACATGTAGCAAACCTAAAAATTTTAAGCTCACCCTAAATTTCCACCTTTAGTTGCCCTAAATTTCCACTTTAGTTGTGACTAAATCTCATGGTTTTTTTTTCCCCTGATGCTCTTCAATTAGATGAATGAAAACAAAAAACATTTTTCATTGGATTACTCTTGCTCTTACTCTACATACTAATTTGAGATACAATTATCTTGAGATAATGAGATAATAGTTTTTTTATCGAATAAATTGCTCATGTTATTTTTGGAATTTAATGTTTTAAAAGGAATATGTTGGTAAAAACCTTTTGAAGAAGTTTTGCGTCATATTAAGATAACTAATCCCATTTTAATGGGCTTTTCTCTAAACCAAATACAAATACATAAAATCAATGAAAAAAATGAAACCTCCAAAAACAAAATTATTGTGGAACTTTAAAAGTTTCTCATATAAAAAATACACACTTGTATCAATTCAATAAAAATGTTTTTAAAAACATTTGAAAAAAGTGTATTTCTTAACAGATTTCAAAAAAAAAAAAAGATATTTTTTCAATTAAAATTTTCGGCGAGTTAGCTAGGGCAAGAGCCCGCTGACCCACAAATGTCCATCTTCCACAAATGCCCATCTTAAAGATGGCCATGGTGTTAACTGGTAAGTGTCCCAAACAAAAATTATATATAAACGGTGCAAAAAAACTCCCATAAAAGGACACATTTCAAATTTTAAAAATCTTATTTTTGAAATATAAACATGATCACCTTGGCCTAGATGATGAATCCCTAAAAAAAATTAGATCAAACAAACCATCTTTAAGATATATTTTACATAGGAGACGCATGCATATATATGGATTGTTTGACTCAAAGGAACCTCATCCACCATAAAATACCCTGACATAAGACCATAAAATATAAATAAAAATAGAGAAATGATTCTATAGGATCCCTCCCACCCATGTATATAAGATTCTTAAAGATCACCACTAAAGTTGATACAAATCTCTAAAAAAATTAAGTCTCACATCCATGTGATGATTTTTCTTAAAATCCATGCTAACTTTAATAGTGATCATTTAGGATCCCACACACATAGATGGAAAAGGATCCTCATTATTCATAAAAATATAGTATAATGGAGCCATTAACACACAAGATTAGACAGAAACAGGTAAGAGAAAATTCATCCGCCCAAAAATATATTCGACTCCCATAGAGGAATTTGCAATACCAACTACATTCGTAACTCCATTAATCACCCATTGATAAAATCAAAAAAAATAAAAATAAATAAAAAAAGTTTTGATAGCTTGGTACTCCTTGGATACCTCTAGTTAAGATTGTCGAATAATAATGAGATGGAAGTTATTTCCTACACATCTAGATCTAATCCGGTTGCAATCCGCTCTACCTGGGAATGATTATTCGATACACTATATAATTTATGAAAAAGTATACAATGAGACAATTTATCTGAGATACAGGGTGGTAACAATTAATTATTGGATGGTTGTATTTATTTATTCAACAAGCTTAAAGTTCAAAAAAAAGTTTTTCGACACACCCCAACCATCTGATTTCAGATCATATAGTTATAAATAATTGTGACATCCTTGTACCACAGGTAAATGAAAGGATATCATTGTATACAATCCCATAATTTATAGGCAATACCAAAAGCATAACAATGACGACATGAAAGGGGGAAAAAAACCTAAAATAAAAAGTCTATCCCCATAGCCAAGAAACTATATTTCCATCGTTCAAAACATAAACAAAAGAGACATATCCAAACCCAATGTTGTCGAAACCAGCAGGTAACATGGCCAAACTACTACAATTGTAATGCTCTATCAAAACAAGGTTCCCCATAATTAAGCAAGGAAAATAATGGCCTTCTCGACCGTCTACAAAACTGAAGCAAAAAAATAGTAAAAGTAATAGCACTCTTCACTCCTCCTCTGCCATCGTAGCCTTCTCACTAACATATATCCCATCCAAGAACTTCCTTATATCCTTATTCTTGACATGGCATTTCTGTTGAAACAAAAAATTAAAGATCACAATGTCAAAAATGCTACATTGCTGGACATGCGCAACATACGCAGCAGAGAGATAGAGAGAGAGAGAGAGGGCTTAAAAGCTCGAAATTAACTGAGAGTTGCTAGAGGACTCGTGGTTTTGCTTACAAATCAAAATAAAATAAATGTCACATTTTGTTGATGGGGAGGGATTTTATGCGACGGTTCTAGAGAAATACAATAAAACAATATTCAAAAACTATATTACAACCATTTGTTTGACCCCAATTTTTAAATTTACAATCTTCATTGTAATGAAAAATCACAAAATATCAATATTTGAAAACACAACTTAAAAGTGAATTTTTTAGCCCAATTAATATAGACAGCCTATTTTAGTAATATGCTTAGATCTAGGCCTCAAAAAGACTTTTTTTCCTTTCCAAATTTTTTAAATAGCTTGGTTATCATTAGATTAACAATGTTAAAAAAGAAAAAAATTGATTTTGAATCCGTAAAGACCTAAATCGCGTAAGTCACCAAATGGATGGTCTAGATTCATTGTTCAAGGGGACTCATTTTGACCAAATCTTGGGTGCAAATTGAATTTTATTATTTTTTGTGATTGATGATTGGGATGAAGAGGTGTGTATGCAAAACTTGGGATCAAACAAGTGCTATAGACAGTTTTCTGAATGTGTAGTTTCATTATATTACAATGACACAGTGACATAAATCATTTCCATTGATAATATTGGATCTAATCCCCTTGGAAGGAAAATAAGTGGCATGAAAGGGTTTTATCAGTTGGGGGGGCAGGGGCAATATGGCCTTGCACATGAGGTATATCTCAACCCATGATCTGGGGAGAAAAATGCACAGCATGGGTTTGCCTATGCGGCTAATGTATCACCGAGGCACACACCTCGTGTACGACCACCCTGATGGGCCGAAGCCGTGCAGCCATGGGCCCACTGCTCCTACGAGACCGCATTTGATAACAATGATTTGTATTCCACTAACTGTTATTTTGAACATCTGGCATAACTTCCCATTTTGGTGTAATTTCTGACCTCAAAATAAATTTGCACCGAGTGGCAGTATCTGAAGTTCATGTCACAAACAAGTTGTCAAGGATGTGAACTTTGAAGGAGATTGAACCTATATTGAGACTTCTTTCAGTTTTAGGTTTAATTTGAAGAGATTGGATGTACTTCCTGAGTCCTTAGTATTTGGCTTTAGAGTACGTACACTATGTCCCCACAAGTACATATTATGCATCTACTCCCTCACCAAAAGACCTACTTGGGAGGATTTTTTTGTTCTGAAATTTCCAGAACCACCCAAGAATCACTAGATAATTATTTTCAGGAGAAAAAAAAATGATTTTTGAGTTTTTTGACACGAAAATCTCACCTTTCAAAAATTGGAAGGTCTCTATTCAATCTTGATATAATATGTTTTTCTAGCACATAGAGAGTTCAATTAGGAATTTTTTCTTTTATTGAGGTCAGTCTATAGGTTGACAAGGCTTCACCAAAATTTGGGTCCTAAAATTACTCTTGAATTTTTCCCGAGGGAGTAAATGGATAGTATGCTGCCACTGGATTTAGTTTGGCTATATGTTGTGGTTGCTACTTCCGAATTTCTTTTAGTAGTACTAGTATATTATTATGCTTGCTTATAGATTTTTATAGTACAGAGCTATATTCTTTTTTACGTTGATAAATTTTATCATTTCTTTATTTGCCCATTTGAAGCGCTTAGCGCCTTGACCCACACCCTGCATTTGATAACCAAGTTACTGAGTAAATGAGGTGCTCTCTCTTACTATTTTGACTCACAACCCTTGGAAAAACAGGGAACATCATGCTATAAAAAAATTCTCTCAAACCCATTTCTAAACCGTATTACCATGCACCAAATTTTACTATAGGTGATTCTGCATTCACAAGGTTATATATACCTATTGGAACTTATTACCATAAGTACATGAGGTGCTCTCTCCTACTAACTTGACTCACAACCGTTGGACTAACTGGGAACATCATGCTATAAAAAAATGCTCTCAAACCCAATTCTAAACTGTATTACCATGCACCAAATGTTACTATAGGTGATTCTGAATTCACAAGGTTTTATATACCTATTGGAACTTATTACCATAAGTAGAACATGAGAAAGATATTAATTTTTATATATAGGTATGTTTTTTCTTGTCAATTCACTGAGATGGATAGACATCAATAAAGGTGAGAGGTTCAACCATGGTGCGTAAGCTAGAGATGCATTTACACACTCTTTTTTCAGGTGTGGCATGAATCAAACCTTGAACAAAGCAGGTGTTGCAAACTTCAAATGGATGAATGTCATCTATGGTAAGGATTAAGAACATTTTGTAGTACAAATTGAAAAACAACTAAAATCGCGAGAATTGTAGCCGAAAATATCCAGTATGCAGGAATAAAACCATCAAACCAGGATTACGCAGGCTCAGCAGTTAATTATGTCTGTGCCAATGTCAATGATAAAAGACGTATGTGTGTGTGTATGTTACATATACACAAGGAAGAAAAGGTCAAACTTCTCATCACTGGCAAGAATCTACCCGGTAAATTTGGAGAAGACATGCTAAAGACAAAAGAATATACCTGATTTATCAAAGCACAGGATCGTGAAACAAGCTCAATATCATTGCCATCTAATACCAATTCATCCTTGACCTTCTCAGAGCGAACAACAGTCACCCCTTCCAACATGTCAACTTTCCTTACCTGAAGTGTACAAGAAAAACGCAATCACTTGAGCATAAATGAAATGCATACCACCAACTTTCATTGGACACCCAAAGTACCAAGCACGCACTTTGGTAATAAAAAAACAGCAACCATTCTGTACCAAAAACTCCCGACAAACTGGAACACAGTTACAGACAGCTTTCAACGAACTAGATCATTTTTTGAAAATTGATAACTAACTGGATCATTTTAAGAGCATAAATGGTATCCATGATGTATTAATGTCCATTCTTTCCAATAATTCAAGAGATAGAATGTAGTCCAGACCATAGGATGATCTTAGAATAAGTATAATTAACTAAGTCTGTTAGCAGGGGACAGAATCCTACCAGTTACCCAAGTTAATAGCAACAAGCATGGAACATTGCTTAAACAAAGACAAAGTAACAAGGAATTTAATTTCAGAAGAGAAGTGGTCAATAGACTCGTTGTGTATAAAAAATGGTGATAGAGCATTCCACAACCTGACTCATAAAATCCCCAAGAAAGCAACAAGACCAAGTACACCGACTTCAAGTAACTCCTTTGAACCCAAATCCCTAATCGATCAATGAGAAAAAGAACACCGACTCCAAGTAACTCATTTGAAACAGAATCCTAATGGAAAAAGATATTGATGATGCCCAGCAGAAAAGATACAGGGTGCCACCTAAGTAAATCTCAGCAAAAGTTGCTGTAGAAGATATGCTTCAATGCTAGAACATAAAAAGTTAAAAACACAGATAAACTCCACATTTTTACTTGAGAATGGGCTCAAGGCAGAGGTAAGTCAGGGTGTTGCAGGTGACATAATATGACCTCTCGAGTTCCATTCCCACCACGTTCCAAACTAATCACCGAAAAAAATAAAAAATTCCTCACACATTTGCTAGGAGGATAAATGAAGACTCCTCAATCAGGTGCAAGGCCAAAGCCTTCCTCAACACTTCAAAAAGGGAGATAAAGAGAGAGAGGGAGTGAGAGAACAGACAAAATAATAGATACAGACTTTACATAGCATCTAAATAAATGATTGACTAAGAGCAACTTGACAGCTAATATATTTCTTACTAATTTATTAGCTGATAAAAACATTCAAGAATGGCAAGGACTTAACTAATGTAAGATTTTATCAGATTCAGCATGTTCGAGACCAAAAACTCAATAGAAACAAGAACATTGGCAATAGAATCAGCCCATAACCCTGCCTGATTTTCCTTTATTTATATTAGGAACCTAAGGAAAAATTAAAAAAGGAAAAAAAGGTAAGGAAAAAAATGAAATTTCAATTTGGGAAAATCTCAAACATAAAGAAGTCTAGAAAGAAAAAACGCACAGACCCAAGGGCAGTTTGTCAGTAGTAATTTGACATTTAATGTCCTGTGTGTTTAATAAATATGCCTGTATTTTATTGGAGAACAAATGATATAATTACCACAACTGAAATTGAAATAAAGCACGAGAAAGTTAAAATTCAATAGCTTTGGAATCAAGAAAAAAACCTGATTACAATAATGGATAAAAATGCTTTCAGAGAAACCATAGAACCATCCATACTAGATCGACAATTAATGCAATAAATAGTAAAATGAGAACATATTCACATACAAAATCAGTAAACAGTGGAGGTAACCCTAGTTGTTCTGCTTTGAGGTCTTTCAGTATCCTTCAGCAGAACAGCAGATCATCGCCAGCATTCATGGATGGCGATAAACTGTGGGTGACCAGTTTGCACCATATACAACACAATCAGGATCATTGTAAACCGCACAATGCAACAACTTCATGTCCCAACAGAGCAATGTAATATGTTCGAAAGCTTATTCAATAATAACATCCAACCAAAATAAAGAAATAATAAAAAATGCAATAATATAAAACCAAAAAGCACCAGCAGCCTGGGCATTAAAAACTCAAGGAGGCCAACATGGCATCACAAGAAAAATCGCCAATTTGCGTTCGACAACTAGTTCAAAGAAGCTCTTCTTTTTCATCATTGAGAGAAATAACTGGTGACAGGACAAAATTGATCAAAAACACCGTGTGGACCACTCCAATAACACAATTAAGGAGCCAGAAAAGTCAAGCATATCATCCAGAATTTGGGAAAGCATAAAAAAGTGTCAGGAATGAACTCAAACAAGGGCTCAACTTTTTTGTGGCTGATCAAAAAAGGAAACAGTTTATGGTAGGATAGGTAGTAGGTGAATTCTCCTTCGAGAGCTAACTTTCTCAGTCCACTGTTGATTCCAGTCATTCACAAGGCAGAGTATACAAAATGACCTTGAAGAACTAGTATGGACGTTTAATCAGTTGCAATGGTTTGGGAAGGACCTCAGATATCAAAAATTCAAGAATGGTTCTCTTAGAGATGATTCAATGTCTATATGATTTGGTAACTATGAAAGACAAGGGTCTCATTCCGATGATAGCTAGGGTAAAGCTAATTTCAAAATGAAAGTGGTACTTCAACATGAATACAAATAAAGCATACTTAACCGCCTGGAAGATTAACAATCATATACTCCTACCACCACGTACCGAACTCCTGATCATCTCAACAGTCAAATTACATACATGACATAAAACCAACCCAAAATCTAGAACAGTATCTTCCTCACTTGTTTTCGAAGTTTCTTAGTAATCAATCTCTTAATAGTGTGATCTATTGATTTCTTCAAAAAAAAAATTGCACTTCTTATGACTACCTCCCCAACTCTTACCTTTTTTATAGTTCCAGGAATGATTCAACTAATTCAAGTGTATCCTGAATTCTTCCATCTTTTTCCATGTCAAATTTTACAAATTTAAAAAATAAAGAATAAAAAAACATTTTAAGCACTCAACTAGTGGCAGATAAATTTGTGTAAAAAAAGATGGGCACACAGCAAGGATCAAAAGAAGCAGCAAATCTAAGGAAAGCCAAGCATTTCAAATAGAAAGGCAGTGTCAAACACAATAAAAATAATTTGACAGAAAATGATCAGTAGTGATGATGAAAACAGCAACAACTACTACTACCACCCCTATAAAACAGGAAAATAAGACATAAAACATAATTCCCCTTCAAGCCTAGGAGATGCCAAAAGGCACAACAATTACTTAATTCTTGCAAAAATTAAGTACTACATACGAGCAAACCTTCATACACTAAAAGACAATCAACATAGATCACAAACAACCTCAGGTAAAAACTCAGTTCATTTTGCAAAATAAATAACTATAGAAAATCGATATAAAATGATGAGGGAAGAAATCATGACAAAAAATTAAAGAAATATCTATCACAAAACAAATAATGAATCAAAAAGGAAACTGACAACTGCAAATCACAACAATCAGGATGTAAAAAAAACTTAAGAATGTAACAAAAACACATACAAACCGAAAAAGAAAATGAGGAAAAACCAGACCTTTTTCTCGCCAAGAAAGTTTCGGATCTCAATGCTCTTGTTCCCCTGGGTGATGCTTGCATTGATGGGAAAGTGAGCATAGACAAACCTCATCTTGTAGCGATATCCCTTTGTAACACCAGTTATCAAGTTCTGAACATGACTGATGGCCGTTCTAATGGCCGCCATCGTTTTGCGGGATCCGAACCAGGCATCAACCTTGAGCTTCTTCCCACCCTCAGTGAGCTGAAAGTCAAGGTTCAGGTGCTTAAAGTTCCTAGTTAGAACACCTCTAGGTCCTTCTACCTTGATCATTTTGGCCTTGATCTGGACCTTAACGCCCTCTGGTACATCCATGGTCTGAGAAGCCAAGATCGTCTTCATTTTCGCAGGAGGCCTCTGCACCTAAACCCTAGAAATCGTAAGCCCCACAGTGAGAGAGCAGAGAAAACCCTAATTTCCTTCCCTCCTGCCTTGGGATGAAGTAAGGGCTTTTGGCGTTATCTAGGGTTTCGAAGTGGCGAGTGTTTTTAAGGGGAGGCCCCCGCGACTGAGGAAAATGACATTATTGCCCCAGGAATGAAGGCGCCCTCGGGTATTTTTCTATATGCTTATAACAAGAGCTTTTACCATCCGATGAATTGGCTGGACGGCGATGGAGAGAGAGAGACGACGTCCAACTGATCGGTGGTACGTTTAACGGCGTCTACTCCATTTCCATTTCCATCTCCATCTCCATCTCCATCTCATGATATATGGTGGCAATGAGCGGCCTTAGAAATTTGGAAAAAGTTTCGGAAAAATTACGTATATATTCATTATATTTGTCGTTATCATAAAAATATTTTTAGTTTCGGTTATTACATATATATTCGGTTTTTTAATTTCATAATATTTTTAAAAAATATACGAAACTACTCATTTTTTGTTTTTCAAAACCGGAATTATTAAATATTTTGGTTTTTCAAAAACCGAAATTTTTAAAATTTCAGTTTTTGAAAAACCGATTTTATAGAGAGAAAAATTTTAAAAATACCATGATCCTTTAGGGTCTTATCTCTCTCCTCCCTACAGTTTTTCTCTCTCATAGTATGATCCTAAAAGCCGAGAAAAAATATGATCCGCTCCATCTCTCTACTCCATAGCCATGTTTTCAGCTTACACAAGGAGGTTTTTAGCGTAGCGAGAGAGAAGTAAGGGAAATAGATTTAAACTGAAGGGGTCGCTACTCGATATTTCAAAAACCAAAATCATACTCATTTCTTTTTTTGAAATACTGAAAATAGGTAGTTCGATCTTTTTTAAAAAAAATTGTTGTGATGGTGAAAAACCGATATATGTGTAATAACATAAACTTTTAGGTATTTTCATAACAACGATAAATATAACGGATATATACATAATTTTTTCAAAAGTTTATATAAAGTGTCAACTTTATGATGTACAAGTAAGATGCTTTTAGAAAACCCACTAAGAATGTTGTTCCTAAGCAGGGAAACCCTCAAATCGGTCGTCTCGATCTCGAGATTCATAGAGATGAAACAAAAAAAAAAGGATTTCTAGTCCTAAAAATAACTCATCTTCTAACATGTTATCTGGATCGTCCATTTTCAAGATTTTCAAATGTTTATAGATTTGCTTGATCATCACCATTTCTAGAACTTCAAATTTCATAATTGGGGGAAACAAGAGATTTTCATATCATCTCAAGGATTTGAGGCACCAAAACTGCAGGTTTTGCATAGTTTTGAGGTGCACCTTACTTCAATAGTATAAGGTTGACACCTTATACAAACTGGCCTAATGCACGAAATGTAGCCTGAGGGCCTGACGATGGCTGGGAAATAATGATTCGAGCATAGGGTTGGGCCAGCCAAGGGCTAGGGCAAAGCCGGCCCGAGGGCCCTATCCTTTTTCTCTTTGTTTTTTTCTCTTTCTTTCTATTTTCAATTTATTTAGCCCGGCCCTATTAAGGTCTTGGCCAAGGCCTCTATGGTCTTGTTAGGTTTGGGCTGGGCTTGGGCCAACCCTATGAGGATTAAGCCAGCGCTGGCCCACCCATTGCCAACCCTATGATGGTATTGTAGTAACTTGTCGTCCTTATGACCATGTCGTTACCATGATATGACCATTCTAACTTAAATCGAATTTATTTCACGTAAGGAAGAGTATGACATACTTTGTAGTGTTAGATTTATGTTGTTATGTGAATCAGAAGTTCGAACTCTAATCCAATGCACTTGAGCAGTTGTTTGCTTTTAATACCACTCTTATTTTCATGTGAAAACGGTTGCCAAGCTCCTCCTCCTAAGCTTGAGGATGAAAGTGGTGGACGCTTGCTATTAGTGTTAAGTATCGTGCCCGTACGAAGTACATAGTGTGTAACCCTATTCGTGGCAGTAAACTTGGGCTAATATTACTATGAAGATTTGTCCTTTGCCAAATTTAACATTCATATTGCAAGTGAGCCACCAAAATGTGGTTTGCTTCAAAAATTAAACACATGCCAGCCTTTGCGGTCTTCGTATCGTCAATGATGATCTTCGAAATGGCGTAATTGGATTTACGGTTGTTTATCCTCTGTGTACTTCTCGGTGCTTATTAATGGTTACCCAAAAGGATTTTTGAAAGCCTCTAGAGGTCTCCGTCAACGAGACCCTTTATCACCCTTTCTTTTCACAATCTATGCAGAGTGTTTTAGTTGTTTTAGTCTTATGATTAGTAATGTAGTGAATAGAGGAAACTTTCCGGACTTTGTTATTGGTTAGGATAGACTTATTATTTCTCATCTCCAGTATGCATATGACATATTGATATTTACTGAGGCAAAGAAGGAGTATATTGAGAATATTGGCAGATTTTTAAAGTGTTGTGAATTAGTTGTGGGGTTAAAAGTTAATCTTAGTGAGGATATGGTTGAGGAGCTGACTTTGACTATTGGATGTAAAGTCATACCTTTCCCATTACTTATCCAAGGCTACCAATTTCTGATGCAAAACTTCCTAACTCAGTTTGGGATAAAGTGATTTAGCGTACTCAAATGAAACTGGATTTATGGAAGCCGAAGTATTTGTCTCTTGGGGAAAGAGTGACCTTGTTGAGATCCTGCATCGCAAACTTATCTATTTATCAAATGTCCCTTTTGAACATGTTATCAGGTGTGATTATGAAAATCTAAATGATGATATGTAATTTTTTATGAGGTTCTTTTGGGGAGGATAAAAAATACCACTTGTTGAGATGGGATAAGGTATGCACCCCTAAATATGAAGAGGGCCTAGGCATTAGAAGAATTTCTTTGATGAATGAGGCTTTATTAACGAAATGGTGGTAGCGCGGTCTATTCTTCAAAGATTAGCTTTGGTATAAGGTACTTATAGCAAAATATAGTGTAGATGGCTTTGGAATTTGGATTGGAGTGCATCTAGGTCGATTTATTGGAGAGATATCTTTTTATGTAAAGCTTATCTTCATAGAGATATCCGATGGTGTGTGGGGAGCGGATCTCAAGTTACCTTGTGGCATCAAAAGTGGATAAGTAACTGCCCATTGAAGATACTCTTCCCTGATTTATTTGCTAAAGTTTCTAATCCTAATGCCTTGATAACTGACACTTATGAATTAGTAGGGGAGCAAGTGGTATGGAATATTCGGTTTCCATACAACAAAATTTAAGAGAACATGCTGGTACAATTTACATTACTGTTATCGCAGCTACAAGAAGCAATTATTTCTTGTAGTATTGCGGACGAGATGGTATGGGAGCATAAACAAGATGGATTGTTCTCGGTGAAAGTGATGTATTCCCCAATATTCCATGATCGCCACATATAGTCTTTTCTTCAGATTGCACAAGTAGGGAAGTGGCCGATACCCCATAAAGTTTAGTGGTTTATTTGGTTAGCTAGGCAAAATAAGATTTTGACCATAGACAATCTTATCAAGCGAGGTAAGGTATTGCCTAATGTTTGCTTGATGTGCAAAGAATATGGTGAATCTGTTTCACATCGTTTGGTACATTGTTGCTTTGCTTAAAAAATTTGGGAGTTCTTTCTAAATATGTTAGGATTCAGGGTGGCTTTTACCTCTGGATATGCTGTGTATTAGATCACAAATAGTCTTTGTAGCCTTACCGAAGTTAAGGTATATCTTGTGGCAAATATTTAGAGGGGCGGTGTGTTGGGAGATATATAAAGAGCATAATCGACGCACCTTTAAAGGGATTGTACTTTCCTTCGAGTGTATCCTTCAGTGTATAATACATACTACTTGGACTTGGCTTTCTGTCACTAAAGAAGGTAGGGGTATCACTGAGATTGATGTAAGGTTAAACTTAGTGAACCTTTCTTTCTCAAATATGGTAAGGACAAGGCCTGTAGGTCGGTTGTTACCTTCTATTCAAGGGTGCTTAAAGTTAAAGTTTGATGGTAATTCCTTTGGTAATCCAAGCAAAGCAGGTATTGGAGGAGTAGTACGAGATTGGAGTGGGTCAATTATTATCACTTATGCAAGACCTATTGGTTATGCAAATGTCAATCTTACGGAACTCACAGCTTTGCTCAGAGGATTATTGTTCACTAAATCTATGAATCTAGGGAATTTCATCATGGCAGAAGGGGATTCTTTAAACGTGATAAGGTGGTATAACAAGGAGCAAAGAGTTCCTTGGATGTTTCGGTTAATTTGGGGACAAGTGATGAATTTGGTAGAGATGTTGTTGATATCTTTCCATCATGTGTATAAGGAGGCTAATGGTATTGCCAATGGTGTAGCCAAAAGAGGTGTTTTGCTTGAGTCTATTTCTATCCTTAATGATGTAATTCTAGTCTAAATTTTAGCAATACAATTTGATAACTTCAGTAAAAAAAGAAAAAAAAGAAGAAGAAGCATCTTCTCATGATACATTGTGAAAAGGATAATGTCTTACACGTTAGGTTCGTGTGAAAATATTTCCCAAGAAATATTTCCATATAAAAAGAATTCTTCATGTGGTTAGGTTATTGGGTGCGTGTGGTCATTAAAGGCCTTAAAAGTGCTTGTAAAATGAAATAATATAGTGGAACATGAACTCAGTGGGAGTGTGGTCCCTAGTGGACCTTACTACGCAAAAGATGTTTGTTGATACTAGATTGTGTTTGACGTGCTAGGTTAGTCTGGTTGGGAAAAACCCATGTTACCTGGGCTCTGAGAATCGTACCGATGAGGGTTATATGGGTTATCCATTGATAAGGTCGGAATATGCTCGAATGAGTGAGCCGAAGGACTATATGACTCTTGTGTGTAATGGAGGCCTTGAGGGACAGGGCCAAATCCTCATCATTTGTTCTATCACATGGTAAACACATCAACAACTATTTTCGGAAAAGTGTACCATCTTTCAGGGTGAAGCATATGCATGTGCGAGAGATATTCTATATGCACCATCAATCCATGAAGTGCATCAAGATTAGGATGACTTTGGCGTTTAATCTCCGGGGGGTACTTGAAATCCATATACTGGGACTACGACCCCTTACCTATT